TTAAGATATTTTAACCAGGGCCAGCAAAATAGCCACTACCTATAAAAAAAACACCAAAAATTTAATTTAAGTTGAAATCAAACAAAGTTTAGTTTTGGACCCTTCAAACCTTAATATGGACTTATTTGAAAACAGGGTCCAAAATAAAAAATATAAATGCACAATAAGATTCAGCATATCATACAGCCATGATTATTCAGTTTTTGATGAAATCAAACAAAGTTTAATTTTGGACCCTTTTGACCTCAATGTACTATGAATGAAGACCAATTTAAAACTGGGGCCCAATATCAAAAATTGAAATACAAGGTTCGATAAGAACCTCCAAAAATTTAAGACTTTAAATTAATCCCATTGAAATTGGTTAAAAGATTTGTATTTATTTTCAATTGAAGATTTCCTGCTATTGCGCAATACTGTGCTATTGTGCAATACTGTGCTGTTGCGCAATACTGTGCAATTGAAGATTTTTTGCTATTGCACAATACTGTGTTGTTGCCCAATACTGTGCTATTGCGCAATACTGTGCAAATGAAGATTTCTTGCTATTGCACAATACTGTTCAAGCAGGGACATAATATATTGACAGTATACTTTTCCCAGATTTAAAGCAGCTGAGAAAAATGTATTCCATTAAAATCTAAATAAAATGCTTCGCTGGGCGCAGCTTGATACGACCGCAGAGGTCGAACCCTGAACAGTTGGGGCAAGTATGGACACAACATTCAAGCTTGATACAGCTCTGAATTTGGATTGTGATTAAATATTTGACACAGCATAGGTTTCTGACACAGAAAGAATGTGGTCTAAGAACTTGAATTTTTTTAATTTACCTATTATGGTCCAATGTCCAAAATCAAAATACATGGTTAGATTCAGTATATCAAAGAACCCCATATATTCAATTTTTGTTGAAATCAAACAAAGTTTAATTTTGGACCCCAACTTGGACCAACTTGAAAACTGAGCCCATAATCAAAAATCTAAACACATGTTTAGATTCAGCATATCAAAGAACCCCAAGAATTCAATTTTTGTTAAAATCAAACTAAGTTTAATTTTAGACCCTTTGGACCTTAATGTAGACCAATTTAAAAAACAGGACCCAAAATTAAAAATCTAAATACACGGTTAGATTTGGCATATCAAAGAACCCCAATAATTCAAGTTTAATTTTGGACCCTTTTGACCTCAATATGAACCAATTTGATAGCAGGGTCCACAAATAAAAAATCTAAATACATGGTTAGATTCAGCATATCAAAGAACCCCATATATTCAATTTTTGTTGAAATCAAAAAAAAGTTTAATTTTGGACCCCAATTTGGACCAACTTGAAAACTGGGCCAAAAATCAAAAATCTAAATACATGTTTAGATTCAGCATTTCAAAGAACCCCATATATTCAATTTTTGTTAAAATCAAACAAAGTTTAATTTTGGACCCTTTGGACCTTAATGTAGACCAATTTGAAAACTGGACCCAAAATTAAAAATCTAAATACACGGTTAGATTCGGCATAACAAATAAATAAATGTGGTCAAAGATTTTACAAATCTAATGCGCCATACTGTGCAATTAAAGATTACTTCTTGAAATTTTTCAATATTTGAAATTTGAAAAAAAAATAAATATTTGAAGAATAATTCTTTTTAATTTCTGAAATCTGAAATGAGAAAAAATTGACCGCCCACAATTTCTTTTTACCCCCCCCCCCCTTTTTTCCCCAAAAAAATTCTTTCCCTCAAGATATGGTCATAATCTCAATTCAAATTTCCTATGGAATTTGCAACCATAATTACCCATTTAAATTTACCATAGTGCTAACTTAATCTATTTTATAATAGAATTTAAAATATAGTGTCAAATCTTTCATATGGATTTTTTTGTAAAAAAATAGATGCAACATTTGGAGATATTTTTACTGGTCTTCCTTTATAAATATGCATTTCTTTCAACATAATTTAAAAGCAGTGTAAGGGAAGTAACCAAAACGTTGTATTTGGATTACCTCCCTTACACTGTTTTTAATTATCTTAATTGTTCATTAACCATTACTTTATACATACCGGGTAATTTAAAAGCAGTGTAAGGGAGGTAATTTCAATGATGTATTTGATTTATCTCCCTTACACTGCTTTAAATTATGTTTTGTACTAAAGTATTTGTCCATTAACCAGGACAACCTTGTTTTCCCCCCTTTTTTGCCCCTAATTCCTAAACGGTTTGAGCCATAACCCCCCAAAGCGAATCCTAACCATCCCTTTGTGGTATGGAAACTTGTAGTATAATTTCAGAGAGATCCATACACCGTTCCACAAGTTATTGTCTGGAAACTAGAAAATGCTTATTTTTGGCCCCTAATTCCTTAACTGTTGGTACCATAACCCCCAAAATCAATCCCAACCTTCCTTTTGTGGTATTTAACCATATGGTAAAATTTTAAAGAGATCCATTCACTTAAACTAAAGTTATAGTACGAAAACCAATGAGTCTTCTGACGACGACGACGACGCCAACGCCAACGTCATACCAATATACTACCGCAAAAATTTTTTGCGGTCGTATAAAAATGATGACAAAAAGGACAGCATAAATATTTTAATAAAACTGAAGTACACAATTATTTTTATACATTAAATACATGTATGTTTTTTAATTTTTTTATATCTATTCCCACCGACCGACCAAGATTTTTCATACCTAAAATCTGTAAATCAACTACGGTAATCAAAAAAAAACTGGCTGTATGGATAGGCTTTATATATTAGAGAATAATGGTTAATAAACTGCTTCGCTGAGCGCAGCTGGATACGCCCGCAGAGGTCCAACCCTGAACAGTTGGGGCAAAAATGGACACAATATTCAAGCTTGATACAGGTCTGAATTTGGATTGTAATTAAATATTTGACATATTATAGGTTTCTGAATAAATGTAGTCAAAGAACTTGAAATTGGTTATATGAATTGAATTTATATTCAATTAAAGATTTCTTGCTATTGTGCAATACACTATGCTGTTGCGCAAAACTTAGTAAATCTGTCGTCAAACTATAAACAAATAAAATTTATAAAATTCTAAAGGGAGCTTACATCAATAGATATAATCAATTCACCAAAGTTTCTTAAGAATTGCTGAAACATTTTTGAGTAATTGTCCAAAAACTGGAAAATCACCCTTTTTTTATGAATAAAACCCCGTAACTTCGAAACTTAAAATCTAAAATTTATAAAAATCAAAATGGAGCTCATGTCAATAGATATAAACAATTAACCAAAATTTCTTGCAAGTAGGTGAAAGCATTCTTGAGTTATTGTCAGAAAACTGGGATTTTCTGGAAAATCCCCCTTTTCTTAATGAATTGACTCGGAAACGTAAAATCTAAAATTTATGAAAAACGAAAGGGAGCTCATGTCAATACATATAAACAATTCACCAAAGTTTTATGCAAATTGGTTAAAGCGTTTTTGAGTTAATGTCCGACATGTTGACGACGGACAGACGGACAACAGTATACCATAATAAGTCCAGTAAACGGGCGTATAAAAAAAGCTGAATAAAGAGGAAAAAACAAACATAGAGTACTGAGAGGAAGAAAGACAAAAAATGGAGAATAGTGGGTTGCTAAATTATAAACAATAGAGAATAATGGACAAAATAGATAAAGAATATAGATCAAATGTATACAAAAATAAAGAGATGAAGTGATGAAGGACCCCCCCCCCCCCCCCCCCCCCCCCACTTTTCTAGACCCTTCTCTGTTTGTTACTTCTTCCAATAAATTATTTAGCACAAATATAAGATTAATGTCATTTTTCACTTATAAATTTGATAGTATACATGTGTTCTCATGTGTCTATGTAAATGATCACTCATACTGAACCCTCAACCTCATACATCTCATTTCAGAGTGTTATCCCCAGTATGTATTCCAATTTGTCTGTTTGAGTCAACTTGCTGACTAAAAACTTTACCACATACAGTCCTGTATGTGTTCTTATGTGTCTCTTTACATTTCCAAGCTAGCTAAACGTTTTTACCACATACACCACAGTCATAAGGTGAATTGCCTGTATGTATTCTCATATGTCTCTTTAAACTACTAAGATAACTACACCGTTTATCACATATGTCACAATCATTATCACATATGTCACAATCATGATGTTTACATGTACCACCTGTATGTATTCATGTGAGTCTTTAGGGAGCTGCCATTTGATTTTTATGGGGGGGCTAGGATGAAAAATTTTGTCCTGCATTTTTTTTAGTTGTAATCTCTGTCCTGCCTTTTTATTTTTCACTCTATTCGGTCCTGCCTTTTTTTTTTTTAGTTTATCCTGACTTTTTTTTACATAAATTGTCATCCTGCCTTTTTTTTTTTGCAAAGTGTCTCATCCTGCCTTTTTTTTTACTCAAAACTCCTGTCCTGCCTATTTTTTTCAAATTTCATCCTAGCCCCCCCCCCCCCCCCCCCCCCATAAAAATCAAAGGGTAGCTCCCTTAAATTAAAATGCTGACCAAAACCTGTACCACATACATTACAGTACTAAGATAAATCGCCTGCATGTGTACTCATATGTCTCTTTAAACTACTAAGATGACTAAACCGTTTACCACATACATCGCAGTCATGCGGTTTATCACCTGTATGTATTCTCATGTGTCTCTGTAAAGTAGCATGCAGACTAAACCCTCTACCACACACATCACAGTCATGAGGTTTATCGCCTGAATGTATTCTTATGTGTCTCTGCAAATTGCAAAGATGACTAAACCGTTTACCACATAAATCACAGGTGTGAGGTTTATCTCCACTATGTGTACTCATGTGTGCCTTTAGGTTACTACTTTGAATAAATTCTCTAGCACAAACATCACATTTATGAGGTTTGTCACCAGTATGTGTTCTAACATGTCTCGTTAAGTCACTACCGTGAGTAAATTCTCTAGCACAAACATCACATTTATGAGGTTTTTCACCAGTATGTGTACTCACATGTATCTTTAAATCATAACTTTGAATAAATTCTCTAGCACAAACATCACATTTATGAAGCTTTTCGTTTGTGTGTGTTCTAATGTGTCTCTTTAAGTCACCAGCTTGACTAAATTCTCTAGCACAAACATCACATTTATAAAGTTTTTCGTTTGTACATGTATTTGTTCTCACATGTCTCTTTAAGTCACTACTTTGACTAAATTCTCTAGCACAAACATCACATTTATGAAGTGTTTTACCAGTCTGTGCTCTAATGTGGCTCTTTTGAGTACCATTGATTTTGACTAAATCCCCTTCTCCCTCATACATCTTATTGATAGTGTTTATCTCCAGTATGTGATCATGAGTTCTTGCACAACTCTGTAAGGAACAAAAAAAAACCTAGAGGTTCTAAAGAGCCTGTGTCGCTAACCTTGGTCTAAGTGCATATTCAACAAAGGACATTCTCCAACATTGCTCCTGTCAGATTTTCTCTATTCATAATGGTTTTCAAAATAATAGACAAAATTTGCATTTTACCTTATGTTCTATTTTTAGCCATGTTGGCCATCTTGGTTGGCAGGCTGGGTCAGATGACACTTTTGTAAACATGTTTAACTAAATACTCCAATGATGATTGTGGCCAAGTGTGGTTAAATTTGGCCCAGTAGTTTCAGAGAAAATTTTTGTAAAAGTTTAGATCAAATCAAATCAAATCAAACTTTTATTGCCATATAAACCAACTTATACGATTTGTGACAAAAACAACATTAACTTAATGACAAGAAAAAAGCATGCATAATGATATTAAACAAACTAATGAAAATAGTTCAAAATTCAATTATGAGTCCCCTATCCTTAGTGCCAATGGAAAATCAACATTAAAGGGCAATAACTGCAATAAGGAGTCGTTGAACGATTTATACATTTAGTCTCGAATGTAGATCTTGTCTTGCTAATCATTTTTGCATATCTAAGTTTCTATCTATCTATTATAATTTTGAAGAAATAAGCCAAAAACGCAATAAATTGATTACAATTGTCATCAAAGGGCAATAACTCTAATAAGGAGTCGACTGATCAGGGCTTGACAATAACGCTTGTCCGGTACCAGAGGAAAAAAGGTCGGACAAGTAAAAGGCACTGTTGGAAACGTTTCGGGACCAAGACAAGCTAGTACCTCGTCTCCCTAGTTATTCTGTTGCTTTTAACAAAAATATTTTGAAAATAAAAAATGAAGAAATTATTGATCATAGAATTCAGAAAATCATATTTGATCATATTTAGACAAACAATATTTTAATGTCTTTGAATAAACATTTCAATATATTAATAAATTGCTTCGCCGAGTGGAGCTGAATACAACCGCAGAGGTCCAACCCTAAACAGTTTGGGCAAAAATGGACACAATATTCGCACTTGATACAGGTCTGAATTTGGATTGTAATTAAATATTTTTTTGCTTTTGTGCAATACACTTTGCTGTTGCAAATTGACCCCTCTCCCCCCACAAAAAAAATAAATCTACCCCCCTTTTTTTTTTGCTTTTGTGCAATACACTATGCTGTTGCGTATTGACAAAAAAAATGATTTTTGAAGAATTATTCTTTTTAATTTCTGAAATCTGAAATGAGAAAAAATTGACCCCCCATAATTTCTTTTTACCCCCCAATTTTATTTTCACCTACACCCCCCCCCCCCCCCCTTTTCCCCCAAAAAAAATTCTTTCTCTCAAGATATGCTCATAATCTCAATTCAAATTTCCAATCGAGTTTGCAACCATAATTACCCATTTAAATACATCATAAAAGTCTTAAAATAGAAAATGAAATACATAATCATGGCTAAAATCAATATTCCATAATAGTAACTTTTAAAAAAAAAATTGACAGCTAATCATCTCAAGACAATACAACATTTCTTGATACATAATTTAAAAGCAGTTTAAGGGAGGTAATCAAAATGTTGTGTTTGGATTTCCTCCCTTACACTGCTTTTAAATTGTCTTAAGTAATTGTCCTTTAACCAGGAAACACTTGTTTTTTCCCCCTTTTTGCCCCTAATTCCTAAAGGGTTTTAGCCATAACTCCCGAAGCCAATCCTAACCATCCCTTTGTGATATGGAAACTTGTGGTATAATTTCAGAGAGATACACCGTTCCACAAGCTATTGTCTGGAAACTAAAAAAAAAATGCTTATTTGGGCCCCTTTTTGGCCCCTAATTCCTAAACTGTTAGTACCATTACCCCCAAAATCAATCCCAACCTTCCTTTTGTGGTTATAAACCTTGTGTTCAAATTTCATAGATTTCTGTTTAATTATACCACAGTTATTGTCCGGAAACCAACTGCCTTCGGACGACAATTACAATGTGTTACCAATATACGACTGAAATTTTTTTTGCGCTCGTATAAAAACAAAGCTGATTGTAGTAAGACATTAATCATAATAATAAATATTTTATCAACATAAAAGACCAGGATACAAACCAAATGAGTGTAGACTGACAGGCCTCCCAGACTGTGCCTGATGTGCAGAGTCTGATGAGACTTTGGCTTTGATGAAAACTAGAACCTAAGTCCTGTGACTAAACATGACTAGATTCAGTTCTCGACTCATATTTTTGAAAATGATATCAAGAGATATGGATCAAATTCTATTCTATTGTTTTAATTCATTTTGTTCATTGAATCAACCTAAAAAAAATGGAGAATGTGTCCCCATGGACACAGATGACGCCTCCGCTTGCATACAACATTATAAAGGGACATAAATCAAGAACAATAAAAGTGACGCTACCCAAATTTGTACTTGATCTTAGTTTTGTGGTAATAAGTATTGTGTATAGGTTTCATGTTTGGTTGGGGCAAACTTAAGTTACAGACCAGAAACTAAAAATTTTGCAATTTTTCGATTTATAAAGGGCATAACTCAATAATGGTTAAAGTGACACTACCCAAATTCAACTGATCTGTGTTTTATCAGTGGAAGGCAAAATTAAACATTGCATTGTATAAAGCATTGATTGTAGTTGATTCAACTATAATCATGGACAAAGGAAGATAACTCCAATTTTAAAAATTACTTGAACGATATTTTTAGAAAAAAAATGAAAAATTTAGCAATTTTTCTATTTGTAAAGGGCATAACTCGAGAACAGTAGAAGTGACGCCACCAAAATTCAAACTTGTCTGTGTATTGTGGAAATAAGCATTGTGTATCAGTTTCATTCCATTTGGTTAAGGCAAACTTAAGTTAAAAAATTTTGCGGTCGTATATTGGTATGACGTTGGCGTCGTCCGAAGACACATTGGTTTTTGCACTCTAACTTTAGTTTAAGGGAATGGATCTCTATGAAATTTTACCAGAAGGTTCAATACCACAAAAGGAAGGTTGGGATTGATTTTGGGGTTATGGTACCAACAGTTAAGGAATTAGGGGCCAAAAAGGGGACAAAAATAAGCATTTTTGTAACTATCAGACATAACTTGTGTGTTAGTGTATGGATCTCTCTGACATTGTACTACCACAAGGTTCCATATCACAAAGGGAATGCTGGGATTGATTTTGGGGTAATTGCCTCAAAATTTTAGGAATTAGGGGGCAAAAAAGGGGCAAAAAAAGGGGCAGAAAACAAGCATTTTTCTAGTTTCATGACAATAACTTGTGTGTAAGTGTGTGGATCTTTCTGAAATTGTACTACAAGGTTCCATATCACAAAGGAACAGCTGGAATTGAGTTTGGGGTTATTGCCCAAAACATTTAGGAATTTGGGGCCAAAAAGGGGCCAAAAATAAGCATCTTTCTAGTTTCCAGACTATTACTTGTGTTCAAGTGTATGGATCTCTCTGAAATTGTACTGCAAGGTACCATACCACAAAGGGAAGGCTGGGATTGATTTTGGGGGTAATTGCCTCAAAATTTTAGGAATTAGGGGCCAAAAAGGGGACAAAAATAAGCATTTTTGTAACTATCAGACATAACTTGTGTGTTAGTGTATGGATCTCTCTGACATTGTACTACCACAAGGTTCCATATCACAAAGGGAATGCTGGGATTGATTTTGGGGTAATTGCCTCAAAATTTTAGGAATTAGGGGGCAAAAAAGGGGCAAAAAAAGGGGCAGAAAACAAGCATTTTTCTAGTTTCATGACAATAACTTGTGTGTAAGTGTGTGGATCTTTCTGAAATTGTACTACAAGGTTCCATATCACAAAGGAACAGCTGGAATTGAGTTTGGGGTTATTGCCCAAAACATTTAGGAATTTGGGGCCAAAAAGGGGCCAAAAATAAGCATCTTTCTAGTTTCCAGACTATTACTTGTGTTCAAGTGTATGGATCTCTCTGAAATTGTACTGCAAGGTACCATACCACAAAGGGAAGGCTGGGATTGATTTTGGGGGTAATTGCCTCAAAATTTTAGGAATTAGGGGCCAAAAAGGGGCAAAAATCAAGCATTTTTCTAGTTTCAGGACAAAACTTGTGTGTAAGTGTATGGATCTTTATAAAATTGTACTACAAGGTTCCATGTCACAAAGGCAAAACTGGGTTTGAGTTTGGGGCTAATTGCCCTAAACGTTTAGGAATTTGGGGCCAAAAGGGGCCAAAAAACAAGCATTTTTCTAGTTTCCAGAAAATAACTTTTGTTCAAGTGTATGGATCTCTCGGAAATTGTACTGCAAGGTACCATACCACAAAGGGAAGACTGGGATTGAGTTTGGGGGTGATGAATCATGAGGGGGTTCAAAAAATTGGGGGGGGGATTATTTTTCCTTTTTTTTCTTTAAAATTTTCCATTTTAAATTGGTTATTTCTGATTTATATATAAAAGCAAATAATAATGATATGGTTTGAATAGGTAAATTAAAAAAATTTTAAGTTCTTAGACCACATTCATTCTGTGTCAGAAACCTATGCTGTGTCAAACATTTAATCACAATCCAAATTCAGTGCTGTATCAAGCTTGAATGTTGTGTCCATACTTGCCCCAACTGTTCAGGGTTCGACCTCTGCGGTCGTATCAAGTTGCGCCCAGTGGAGCATTTTATTCCATTTATAAAGG